GATCGTAGCAAACCCTTTGAATGTGATATTTGTCGCAATTCATTTGGACAAAAACCACACCTCAATAGACATGTAAATGCAGTTCATGATCGTAGAAAACCTTTCGAATGTGAAATTTGTCATACATTTTATGCACAAAAAAGTTACCTCAAAAATCACAAAGTTATAGTACATGATCGTAGCAAATCCTTTGAATGTGCTATTTGTCACAAATCATTTGGACAAAAAGGCTATCTCAATTTTCACATAAATACAGTACACATTCGAAACAAATCTTTCGAGTGTGAGTTGTGTCCAAAATTATTTGGACGAAAATTTGACCTGAAACGTCACGTAAATACAGTATATCGTTATCAATCATTCCAATGTGATATTTGTCATAAGTCATTTGGCCGCAAGGATTTCTTAAAATCCCATATAATTAAAATTCATGATTATAATAATCATTTTTTTAAATGAGATTTACTTCGGAACATTTTGATGTTATAAATTTCATTTACATAAGTGTCGCATAATGCTTGAAAAATTGCGACATGAATATACATTAATTTTGTTTGAAAAACTCATTTATTTTGTTTATATTTTATACGTTCATCTATTTTGTCATGACTGTGAAAGGACATATCCTTTGTAAATAAACTACAATATTACCACACAGTAGCGGATTAGAAAAAGTGCCACCCAATGCAAACTTTCGTTGGCCTCTCGCTTGAAGCAGTAGATTTTTGATAACTCGGTAAATTAAAATCGAAGCATTAAAATAAGGTTGTTGATTGATCAAAGAACTGAAGAAAAATGTGTATAATTTACGAAAGATTATAATAATTATAAATAATGTAGAAAATATTTATTGGTTGAAATAAAACTGTTGAACGGTTTCCACTTTTATTTTTTCATTACGAAGATATTATTATCGATCACATTTCTCTTAATAGAAATAATTAGTCTGACATTAAATTTATCAAAATTTTTGTCATATCATGTCAAATCAATTCAGCATATTATCACGTGAGAGTTATCAAAAATGTAGTGGTAAGTACTCACCGTATTCAAAGCTCAAGGAGTAACTAAATTGCTAAAAAATTCACGGAGAGAAGTAATTAGCAGTACTCGAAATTTCGTCTGAATCAAAAATAAGACACCACGACCATAGTGAAAAAAATTTTAATGATATTTATAAATGCTAGAGATTTAGGTAAGATACAATAATGTTGAAAATATTTTTAAAAATTTAAGAAAAACTTTTATATAATTATCTATAAATATGTACAATTGTTAAAAAAAAAGTAGTACTCTCTATTATTTAACAAATGAAATATACGCTATTCTCTCAATAACAGTTTGAATCGATGAGTTTGAGACATTTGTTTAAGCGATAAATTTTTTATAAAATCATCTGACATGAAATTGGATGCAATTATTGCATATTTGAAAAGCACTTGAATATTTTTTGAAGAGTTAATAGCAAAGCAAAGCATTATAAAAAAGTTATTATTATAATAAATATGATTATTATACAATTAAGTTGTTCAATTATGTAAAATATAAATAAGCTCCAATCAAACTTTTCTGGACTTGATCTAAAGTCTTTCTAGTAATATTTTTTGTTTAGTTTCAGAATTAATGAAGAGGTACTGGACATGCGAACTTGTTGTTAGACACTTACCGTGACTACATGTTTTAACATTTTTTGTGAATAATTTGATTATTACCGGTCAAATTGATTCTTCTTTTGTAAAGCTTTTTACACATTGTGTCAACTAAAATTCGATTAGTACATAATTTCTTTTCGCATTTTTCACATGAGAAATCTTAATGATCTTGGTGATTTTTCTTTTCATGTAAAAGCAAACTCGATTTTTGTCCAAATTTCTTCTCGCAATTGTTGCATGCGAAATCTTTACTATCTTCATGCATTGTCTTTTGGTGTTTCGACAAATATGATTTAGTTCCAAATTTCTTTTCGCATTTGTCGCATACGTAATCTTTACGACCCTCGTGTATTGTTCTTCGGTGAAAAAGCCAAGTAGACTTTTGTCCAAATTTTTTCTTGCACTTGTCGCATTCATAATCTTTGCCCTCGTGTACTGTCCTTTGGTGTTTAAGCAAACTCGATTTTTGTGTAAATTTCTGCTCACACTTGTCGCAAGCAAAATTTTTGCGACCTTCGTGTACCGTATTTACATGGATTAGAAAATTACCTTTTTGTGTAAATTTTTTCTCGCACTTGCCGCATGCAAAATCTTTAAAACCATTATGTACTGTTTTTTGGTGTAAAAGCAAACTCGCCTTTTGTGTAAATTTTTTCTCACACTTGTCACATGCATAATCTTTCCGACCTTCGTGTATTGTCTTTTGGTGTTTAATCAAATTGCTTCGATCTCCGAATTTCTTTTCGCACTTGTCGCATGTGAAATCTTTGCGACCTTCGTGTACCGTCTTTCGGTGGGTGAGCAACTTTGATTTATTTACAAATTTCTTCCCACAATTGTCACATGAGTAGTCTTTGAGGACTTTAAGGGCCACATCTCTCTGACCTTCGTGTACTGCTTTCAAGTGAAAGAGTAAATGCGATTTTTGTTCAAATTTCTGCTCGCACTTAGCAGATGCAAAATCTTTACGACCATCATGTACTGTCTTTATGTGCACGAACAAACTCTGTTTATTTCCAAATCTTTTCGCGCATCTTTCACATAAATAATCTTTGAAAACTTCGTGGATTATTTTGTTGTGCTTAAGTAAAGTTGATTTATTTTCAAACTTCCTCTTGCACTTGTTACATGAGAAATCTTCGCGATTTTTGTGTACTAATTTTTGGTGTGTAAGCAAACTTGATTTTTTCACAAATTTCTTTTCGCACTTGTTGCATGGAAAATCTTTTTGGCTTTTGTGTTCTGATATTTGGTGTCTACTTAAATGACTTCGGAACTCAAATTTCTTTTCACACTTGTCACATGAGAAATTTTTTCGCTCATTGTGAAATGTGTCTCTGTGGGTTATCATGCTTGATTCTAATGTAAATGTATCCTGGCAAACATCACAAAAGTATTGTTTGTCGTTTGAAAAAACAATGACGTGTTCATTTAAATTATCCTTTAAGACGATTTGCTCACATTCCTTCTCATCTTCATTCATTACGATGCTTAAATTAAACGATGGATCCTTCTACTTGGTGCCACAGAAATTAAACGAGTAAAATTTATCTTTCATTTTCACTACAAACATGATCAGTGTGTTCAGTTACGTCAAAATTATTATGATCATAATGTTTACAATTAAATTAGCGATTAATTTGTTTACACATTATCCGTATAATTATTGAGTCATGAGTTTCAAAATATAACTTGGCAATGATTCCGAGGAATTGTTTTGGCTTACTAAACTTAAGTATTATTCAAAAAAATTCCCTGTTATATCGAGTCTATAAATCTATATACCACTATCCCCGTAAAAATCTGATATATTTGAAAAAAAGTTCATTCGAGAAGTGTCATCGGTAGCGGGTTACGTCAACTATGCCATGCCAAGTGAAATGGCAACGTGTTTAATGTCTGGTTAATGCGTTAAACGCTAGGTGGCGAGAGAAAATCTAATTGTAAACACACGAATAAAATAGACCAGTTTGATAGATAACAGCCAACTTAACTTGGTTTCAACTAATTTCGACTTTCTATTCGATTGCGTACAAAGAGGCATATAGACCTAGAAGATTGCGCCGAAGTGAAAATAAGAGAATAAAAGTATACCCGTACGCGTGGCTTCGCGCATTCACGAAGGCGTGAAATTTTAATCGCGTTGTAATTGGCGGGCTGAATCGTACAGTTCTGCCGTGTGTGCACACGAGCTCGATTCGCACATATCCCGTATCCGTGCCGCTGCTGTGTTTCATAGCATTTCTATTGTAAGTACACGCGATAGATCGAAGGCCGCGTATGTGTTTAGGCACGACTAAATTTATACAGATCCCGTGCGAACTATTCAGAGGCGATTTTTTTTTTCGATATAGCGCTGCATTCCTTTTTAACTGGTGTTAATTTGCTCATCGTTTAATTGTCTATTGCGTAATTACATTAGCTAAACTTTCTCGTTCCTTCGATATTCGATAAATTTGTCAAACATTATGCGATTCACTCGTATTTTATTAATCTCAAAGTATCGCTACAAATAATTTTGAGCACACTGTAACTGTAAGCGGCTGCACCCAATCGATGTTTGAATTAGCCGAACATAAATCCAGCGTTAATAAGTAAACACACACACACACACGCGCGCGTCGAGCAGGCCATTGTTTGACCCGAGCAAGCAGGTAATTCTTAAGGGAGCTTTCATCAAATTTTACCATACGCAAAATGTTTCCCTATCCGATCGCTCCTGCGCGTCAGTTTTCGGATGAATGCGCTTCATCGCCCCGCGAGTGCATTACTATGCACACACATACGCACACGTGTAAAATTATACGATCCCCCTCCCCAAAAAACTCGTTGAATCAATTTTCCGCGATGAAAAAAGAACAAAGGGCGAACGAACTACGTGTATAAGCGCGAAAAAGCCTGTGTACGCGACGAGCGAAATACGAGGGCGGCGGCGGCGGCAGAGGAAGGGAGGGCCAATAAAGCGGCCACAAATTTACGCGTCGTGGTGTGTCCAAAAATAATGCGCGCCTCCGAGAGTCCAATGGTTTTGCGGAGCTTTTTATCTCGATTTCAGAGGTAAACCACACACACGCATGGTGCAGCAGCAGCAGCAGCAGCAGCAGCACGTACAGTACCGAGAGAGAGAAAGAGAGAGAGAGAGAGAGAGAGCGACACTGCTTTTCATCAATCACACCTGAAGTGCGCGCGTATTGTTGTATATAAAACGTGCGGGTCGTGGTTAAAGAATTTCATTGTATACGTCCGCGATAATCGTTTTTACTGATCGCGCGTGAATGTACTTTTTTTTTTTTAATAAACTCGGATTGTACGATGGTGCGGTTGGATCATCGAATGAAACGCAGAGAATTATTGGGTTTTGATAATAAGTGTAATGATTTATTCCTTATGAAATATTACTTTAACAAATGAATATAATAATTTACATTGTTTTCATACATCTAGATCACAATTATTGCACGGCCAATTAAATTAAACCTATTATTAATCAAGTGAGAGAATGAGAGAGAAGAGATCTGAGAAATACTTTTTTGGATGGGAAAATTACTGCTGCGCAAAACAAGTTTCAAACTATAATTTGAAAAACAATCCGTTAACAATTTTCAAGTTTTACACTGCTTCTGTATATTTTGGTTGTATTTAGCACACAGAGATTGAAAAGATGCACGCTCACATTTGTTTTCTTCGTTTTTTTTTTCAAGTTCGAATCGCAACTTTCACTCTCGAGTTTTTCCCATTCGAAACACACAAAGTTTGTTTTTGGTTTAATTAATTATGAACACGAAAAATCTGGATAGAGAATTCCAAAATATTTCAAAGTTCGTCCAAGCAGCTTTCTTTCAGAAATTATCCTACAGTTCGTTATATATTTACAATTCCTAATGGTTGGATTACGGATTAAGTGAATTCTCGTTTTATTGCACAATGAACATGAATTTTCTAGTCGATTTTTCCGAGATATAATTTTTTTTTTTTTTCGTTAATTAAAAACTTTTTTGCTCGTTTTAGTAGGTATTTTTTGTTTTCTACGAAATTCTTTGACTGCGTAATAGATTAACAATTTTTTTTATTTACAAATCATACTCGATCCTAAACCCTGGTTAGTCCTTAGATGAGACCTTTTTTAGTTTGATAATACGGCAATTAGGAATCGACAAGTTAATCATTCTGCGAATAATTATCTTACTCTATGCGATTGAAATGACAAACGAATGAACGCGTGTCGTTACAAAACAAAAATACTTCTTCGTCAGTATATGCAAATTAATACGGCCTCCAAACTTGTCTAGGCTTAGGACTCTTCTCCTTTCTCGGCCTCATGGTCTCCCGGTCCATCACGACGTCGACGATGTCGTCCTCTTTTCGCCTCGACGTGGTCAGATCCTGGCCGACGTTCTCCTTGTCCCGATGATGGCTGCGCGTCTTGGTGCTGAGATCGACGGTGCCCTCGACCCGGATCTTGACCGTCAGTCCGCCGCAGTGATGATGATGATGATGGCTCGACTCGTCCAACTGGTCCAGCTGCGTGCCGTGATCCGGCTCGTTCAGGTTCTCGAAACTGGGCCGCAGACGACTCGAGGAATCCTCCAGCGCTATCTCCGAGTCGGTCCTGAGATAGAAAAAATTATCCATTTAAGATCGGCGAACTTCAACTCGTTAATTTTAGATTCATATACCTGCTCGGCGACATCTTCGGGCTGTCGAGCGACTCGTCGCTCTGCGAGCTTCTGGCCAGTTTCGGCCTTGGCTCGTCGCTGTCGTCGACCTCGATGCTACTCTCGGGGCTGTCCCTGTCCTTGTCCCGGTCTCGGTCGGCTGTCTCGTCGTCGGCTCTGTTGCTCACGTCGTCGTTGTCCGTGGCCGATGCCGCCGCCGCCGCCCGGAACTTGCGCAGATCCTCGAGGCGCGAGGAGGAGTGGCCGTCGGGCCGCTGCAGTCGCTGCTGGGCCATGCGCAGCGCCAGGGCGTGCCACTCGGGCTCCAGCAGGTACTGCTGCGAGTGATAGAGCGGATTGTACAGCCACGAGGACTGGGGCAGGAGGGGCGCGAAGATCGAGCCGAACAGAGAGTTGGTCGCGCCGAGGAGGTGAAGACCTGTTGTATATTAAAAAGTATATAGAATTAGTGAGACTACAGTTCATAAAGGTGAAAAGAATGATTAGTTTACCTTGAAAGTGCTGATGATGGCCCACGGGACTGGAATGGCTCGAGGCAGTAGTAGTGGTCGTCGTCGTGGTAGACGGCTCGTTCGCCGGCGGTGTCGATGCAGTGGTCGCGATCGACAGTAAGCTCGGCGCGCCGCCCGTAACATTACCCGACGGCGACGCGATTGGCACCGATGATTCCCGAGTGGAGGCGTTCAACTGTCCCAACTCTCCTCTCGACGAATCTTCGATGAACAATTTATGAAAAAATTGAATAATGTATTAAAACCTTTAACTGAAACTCGAATAACCATAAATCTGCTATAGGAAGTTAACTTTTTTTTTAACTGAAATAAAAAAAGATGAAGTTAAGAGCCTCACCGTTCACGGTGCTGTTGGGTAGCCGCGGCGACCTCCGCTGCTCGATACCGCTGCCGGCCGCGTGGTGGAAAGGGTTGAAGGCCGAGGCTGCCGCGACCGCCGCCGCCGCCGCTGCAGCCGTGACTGCTGCTGCGCCTCCGGTACTACTGCCGCCGTTGCTTCCCTGGTTGCCACCACCACCGGTGGTCGTATTATTTGTCTGATTAGTGGCGCAAGCAGCAGCAGCAGCAGCACCACTGCTACCGCCGCTGGTTTGTCCGCTGCTGCTGCTGGTCGCGGCCGTCGGCGTCGCATGATGACCGGACTGGCTCGACAGAGCCGGCGGCAAACAGGCCGGGCCCAGAGCGCCACGGGGTAGGCCGCCCCAGCTCTGCGTGCCTTGATCCAGACCCAAGTGCTGCAGACCTGTGCGCGAGAAATGACGATAGGTTTTAGTTACCAATATTACTATGAGATATAATGTGTAATATAATGTGTAATTGTGTCTTTCATGCGCTCACTTGGCTCGCCCACGATGCTATCGTTAAGTAGATGTGGGTTGTTTGTTATCATTTTTTTTTTTTTTATAATGTTGTTGCACACGCATGCATTATTTGTTTCGAATAAAAGAGCGTAAGAATCAATATTTCAGAACTCTTTTCCTATTATAACCAGATTTATCGTCATGTTTGATTATGAGTTTTCTGATTTCATCAACAGATGGAGCATTGCAAAAACGAAAGTGTTAAACATATTTTTATCAGATTTAAGTGAAAAATTTTTTTCATGACTAATTGCCATATACAAAACGAATTCGAATCGCAGAATGAATTGATACGTAAAATAGAGAGCTAGCTCATACGAGGATGAACGAAGCTAAAAGGAATAGCCGCTTAATGAAAAGAGCACAGAAGAGTCAATAAAGTATTAAAAAGTATCGACGCGGGAAAAACGCTACGCTTACACTTAATCGAGGTAATATCGGTTTTCCCGAAACCAAGATCAATAGCAGATTATGACTCGCTTTTAAAATATTTTCCTTCCGACAGGCCACTGGTTTATGCTATGCCTTCCCACGCGAATAATGACGTTTGAAAAAATAGCAAGAAGTGGTGGGAATTATGAATATGTAATTACTTAGATTGTTCCATACTTGTGCACTTCAATGATCCAAAAAGTAGTTTTATTAATAAACCCTTCGTTATTAAATACGAAGGTATCGATAAGATTTATAATCTTGTGCTATAAAAAGCCCCATCGAGATGATAGACAAAGTATTAATAAAAAAGAAGTGGGTGCAAAAAATTCAAAGGTCCGGAAAAGAGGAGAAAAAAAAATCGAAACGACGTCTTTCTCCTTAAAGGATGCCGTCGTGGTGCATATTATGCATTATAAAATCTTGGATGCAAAAAGTAAAAATAAAAAAAAAACGACGACGTCAGAGCCACCTTCCAGAGGTAGAGCGAGTAGTAAATATGTAGCGAAGAGGAGTGATATAAAGTTGGAGGAGAAACGAGAGCTTATTTTCTTTCTCTTTCCCTCTCGAGGCAGCAGCATCACGAGGGAGAGCAGCAGCTGCAGAAGGGGAGGAAACGAGAGTAACTATATACATACATACACACGCACACAGAGAGGGATGAGTAGGAGGAGAGGTAGAGAGGTGCAGCATTCACAAAGTCAGCCAGCGGGTAGTGGGCGTGGCGGGCGGAGATTGCGGCCTGCCAGGATTGGTTGGCCGCAAAGCCCTTTTCGTGGGGCCCCGCCGGAAAAAAAGCATCATCCCCCAGAACACGTATACGTATGTATAGCTACGTGCATGTATGTATGTGCACACACAGAGACACATGCACGAGCAAGCAGGGGAAATTTTTCCCCTCTCAAGTGAGTAAATGTGTGTATGTGTATGTTAGCGCAGCAGCAGCAGCTTTTCTTCTCTCCTAGAGAGAGAGAGAGAGAGAGAGAGAGATAGTGACAGGTATGTGTGCCACGCAACTGCAGTAGCACCTCCGCACTTGCACATAGCTCACACCAGATGCTGCTGCTGCCGCCGAGCGAAAATTAGAGGGAGAAAAAGATGGAGTGAGATAGAGACAAATAGAAAGAAAAGCGCGGATAGAGATAAACATAACTTTTGGATAAATAAAGCGAGAATATAATATCCGAATGTTTACATATAGAAACTTCCGCGAGCTCCGAGACGAGCGAAATGAGAGATGTACTGAAACTCGACAGTCGATAAGAAGTACTTTACGTAGGAGGAGATACTTTTTCAAGGAAGATGCACTTTGTGGAAATGAGTTGACCTGTAGGGCGCGTATAGCCGCGTGCAATGGATTTCTATGGAATATTAAAAATTTCTCAAAACTCAGCAAACTTCCAGCTACGAGAGCTTTCGTATCATGTCCGCTGAGATATATATTTTTAAAGCTCATTTGGACATTACTATCGTTCCGAATTGTGATTCCGTAAAATAAATCGATTCTCGAAAAAAGGCTAGTAACATACCGACGGAGCAGCAGCAGCAGCAGCAGCATCGTACAATTTGGTACGGTAGACCTACACACACCCGCGCGGCAGCTGTGAGCTTTTAAAACGCTCGAACGTACGCATACGTACGTATAGTACAGTACGCGCGGTAACATATTTTCAATTTAATAAACCTCCGAGTGGCGTCGCTCTCTCTCTAGCTCGCACCACCACCCCACCTCTTCTTTTTCAACCCCATCGCTGTGCGCTCTGCTCGTGGCGCGTTAACTCGGCGCGTTGCTTTTGGACAGGAACGATAATTCCGAAAACAAATGAAGACTAATGAGCAGCTTACGCTTACGACGGTGTTTGTGTGTATAAAGGCAAGGTAGCATACCAAAGGGTTCGTTGCTGCTGCTGCTGCTGCACGCACCCTTTTAAGGAGCTCAAGAGAAATACCCAAGGCTCACGCAGCTATAGCTCCGCGCGTAGGAGCATATACGTACCGGAGGAGGGTAAGCTACTAAGAAAAGTGCTGCCGCTGCAGCATCCTCGAGACTATTTAGCGGAAGGATGACGTATTGTCTCGCTTCGTAACTCGGAGGAGGGTTCAGAGCTGCCAGCTGCTTGCCCAAATAACGTTCGTACGTAACGTACCGCCAGGATTGACGCATCGATCGCCGAGTTGCGGTGACTCGTGGAAAATAGTCGTGAAAATTCTCTCTCTGGAGGATCGAAAAATCAGGTATACGTACGAAAACAATCGCGGAATATTTTCCGCCCCAACGAGCGACGACGACAACATTTGCTGCTGCTACTGTGTGCGAAGTGAATTCTCAGCAGCTTAGTAGCTTAAAGAGGTATTAGCGCGGGCGCGCTTGGCGCAGTAAAAGAAAGATGGAGAGAGTAAACTTGAGTGAAAAGGAGCCGCCGCCAACTCGTCCGGCTAGCGTGAGATACATAATAAATTAATTCGCCTCTCTCTCTCTCTCTCTCTCTCTCTCTCGGGCTTCTTCTTCTCTAGCCCAGTCTCTCGGATTGAGCCTGGGCCCTTTTATCTATTCAGATCTATGCAAAGCAGGCGTTAAAAAGCTCTCCCAGCGCTGCTCTCTTATATATACACTCTTCTTTCGCGCTGCCCTGCTTTCGCCTACCGACTTAACCCTTATACCGTACTATATACCCTTTACCTCTCGGGAAGTTTTGTGCTTTACTCCGCTCCCTCCCCACACCCCACACCCCCCCCNCTCCCTCCCCACACCCCCCCCCCCCCCCCCCTCCTATATTCCTCTCTTTCTCTCTCTCTCTCTTGAGAAGGATAAATCTATCCTTTTGCAGCTGCTTAGGAGAGAGAGAGAGAGAGAGAGAGAGCTCGTTTGAAAATCTTGTGTCTCAAACTTTTGCCGCTGCTCGGCTATTTTCGAAAGGATTTACTTGCCCTCCGCGCGCTTCTTCAACCCAGCGAAAACAGTTACTTTCTTAAAAAGAGTTTCGAGAAATAATTTTTTATTTTTGTTTATAATTCTACTCTTTTTTGTTGTTGATCAGTTGTAAACTTTTCCTCGATGCACTTAATATTTCATAAACCTTATCGAGTTTATTTTATAATAAAGCAGCAGCAGCAGCTTTTTTCCATCTTTAATAACAATTCCACTTAAAAGTTCATGCTACGGCATCTTTCAAAAGATACAATAATGCATGTAAAAAGTCTTCGTCGTCGTCGAGGGCCTTGTAGCCATGTACCACCGATTAAATGACAAATTCTCTCCCTCTCTCGCTCTCTCGACGCAAATGAATCGAGAGTGCACTCGACTCCGACGAAAGCTCGGCTGCTGCTCAATTTTTTCCATGCCATCTTCAGGCGCGCTTGCAAGAGAGAAGGAGAGAGCAATGGCTCCTGCAGGGAGTTGGCGTGCGTTAACAAGGCGCGCGCTCGTATATAGATATAGTCTAGCAGAGTAAAGTAGCGAAGAGCTTATGAGCGCACATATACGCGTGGGAGGTGTGTAGCAGCGGCAGCACTCGTCGCTTGGATTTTAATACTCGTGCCTCGCTCGGCTCCTTTTCTCTTTCCACACTCATGAGGCTGCTGCTGCTGCTGCTACTTCTCAAAGAGTCTATGCAGTATATATGTAGCAGGCATAAGGTGCCTTTCAACCTCTCCTTTCCTCTACCTAATACCACTATTACTACTGCCACTACCGTACGGTACCCCACCCTTTTCCCAAGGAAAAGCTCGAGTCCTTGGTAGCAGATGCTGCGCGTATTTAACTCGGTCGATTTTCTCCATTCTCATTATCGCGGCAGTAGCAGCAGCAGCAGCTCGAGAGCAGCAGCCCCAGCATATACCCTTCCTTCTCTCAGGCTGCTACGTTTAAAATAGGTGTGCGCAAGTGTGAGAATACACACTCGCGAGGCTGCTGCAAAGACGTTACCGTGCCGACACAAGGCGCTCGAGGTAGATCGAGAAGCTCGAAGCAGCAGCGGCAGCAGCAACAAAGAAGAAAGAGGGAGAGAGAGAGAGATGGAGAGAGAAAAGAGAGATCGGCGCGCGCGTAGAAGTTCAGAAATTGAAGCGAGAAAGTGACAGAGAAGGAATGCGAAGAAGCTATTTAGCGAAGCGTGATCACGATTATTAGTACAGAGTAGTAGAGAGGAGGGTGGCGCAGCGGCAGCGGCGCGCATAGAGAGAATCTCCTCGTATATCCTACGCCGAGTTATTAAAGAGTGTGCGGCTGCGTCTCGACGTATTACCTAAAACACCCCCCGAACGAGACATCGCAACCTTCGTTACATTATATATATTATTACAGCTACTTGTTGTGCAGTTATAAAGCTCGTGAATATTTTGTCTTACTTCGTCGTACGTCGGCGGCGCGCACTGATTGCTCGAAAATTGAAATTATCACGCGTGACGAAAAATACAATTACGTTACGAGGATATTACACGATCTTATATA